TTAAAACGAATTTTGGATAAACAAATCATGTTTAGCGTGTCTTCGGTGGGCTTTTCGTTGTTTCGTCGAATATACAAAGTAAATTATTCGCAATCCCGTAACAGTCGGAGATGAACGAAATTCGGACGGACAAAGTTTTTCGCTTTTTCTCGAAAAGTCCCACGACCCGCAAAAAAAAAATAGAGTTGCAGATCTCATTAAACTCCTTCAACTCTACTTCGGGTATAATTCGTGCCGTAAAAGCAAGGAAAAAAGAAAAATTACGCAACCATCATCAAAATCATTAATGCAAATTTTCAGCAAACCAATTATACACGTAGTAACCATACTGCACTTTGCCGTGACGAAAAAATCGCAGCAGCCGTGCCCAATGCTACAACTTAACTTTTTCGCCCAAACTCAGTTTCCATTTTATTACCGGCAAAAAAATTACTACAGTATACAGTAACACGGGAGTCACCGGAGCATGCATTTTTTATAAACGGTTATAAAAATTCCTGCCCCTTACCCCCCTTGGCCCCCCCTAAAACACCAGCAAAACCGGCAAGTCGAAAATAAAATTTGCAAACTCCACCCTCGGACGCCCCGCATCGGGCAGAGACACGCACAGACACAGTTTGGACGGGAAAAGCAAAACAAAACAAAAAATCGTCCAGCCCGCCAGCGCCGAAAATGTAAACACGACAGCCAGAGGCGAAGGGGGTGCCAAACGTCGAGCTATACACTCGTTAGCCGCGCCCAGCCGGATCAACTCGATTTGCCGAGCTTCCACGAAAAGTTTGTACACGCGCTCGCGTAACTGGATGCAGGAAAATTACCGTACCAGTATATACTCGGATGGCGTTGAAAGAGAGCCGGAACCCATCAGCGGCACTTCCTATGTATCGGCATGGGGATGTGAAGGGAGGGGGAGAGGGTACTGTTAATTTCAGCAGCACCACACACCCGATCACCGATCAAAGAGACGACCCACGAGGGAAAATAAAAGGGGACAAGCGCGTCATTTGTCTCCGGTACGGGGTATATATAATTGCTTTGACGCTGATGGCACGCTGGTAAACAAGCTCCAAAATCCAGCGAAACAGAGGAGGAGTTGATCCAGCGCGGGGGAGAAAGGAGGAAAAAAAAAAAAAAAAGTTGTGTTGGGGGGGGTGAACTGTTATACACCGCGGCTAAAAATAAACTCGCGCTTTCGTCGACCTTTGCCGCGTTGCAGCGTCAGAGTGCATTTATATTTGTATGTGATATGTACGGGCAGCAAGGCCAGGGCGTGCATCAGCATCGGCTTACCAAGTGCAGGGTACTTACATATAGATATAGGTACGGCTGCATTTGCTCGGCAGTCGGAGTCAAAAGAGAGAGAGAGCAGTGTAAACGCGGGCTCGAGAGAATGTGTCCGGCCTTGATCCACTCGTCTCCGTCGTCATCAACCGTGTGTGGATACTTATTCATAATGCAAGCTTTCGTTTACACTGCACCAGCTCGCTCTCTTGGGGATTTCTTATCTCTCTCTCTCTCTCTACGCTCCTGCCTCTGCCCGGCTGTATATTTATATACACTTACTCCTCTCATCCAGCTCGCGTCTGTATGGATATATATATATTTTTTTTATGCATTTTACGTGGATAAGAGTGGTGCATGCGCCAGTGCAGCCCCGAGCGCTCCAATTACCGACACCTTCGGGATTTCAATGTGTTTTCTTTCTCTTCCTGTTTTCCACTGCCCTTACATTTACTTTTTCAGCCCTTCTTTTGTTATTTTTACGCGGGTGACGATATCACTCGTCCATATCACGTCACGCGTCCGAGAAAGTAAATATACGAAGAAACACAAAAATTCATCGATTTTTACAGAAGTACATACTTTTTGTTTCAATTTAAACCCATTCGCGTGAGTGCATTTAAAGTTTTAGGGTCGGAAACAAACGACTCATTTGCCCGGTAGGTATACATATATCATCATGTGAATTCGATTCGTCCATTCATCGTTATAAATACCGATAATCAGGTATACGTGGCTCCGGTGCGAGTCTTGGTCCTTTGAACCGTATAATATAATGTCCATCAATTTCCAATACGCCAGAGACATCCGCACGTTAAATATCACGACTAACTTGCTTCGAGACCTTCTTACTGTTGGTGGCACATTATATGCTTCTATATACTGTACGTACAGATACCGAGTATCTGGCACTTGGAATAACGTACCCATATAAATATATGTATGTGTAAGGGCAGTTTCGTTCAATACCGTATATTTCTTTATTTCACTCGTACGATTGTCGCGTCGTTCCGGCTCGTCCGCTTATTTGGCGAGCTAGTTTTTTATACATATATGTATGTATTCTGGAAGAAAAGCCAAACGAGGCATTTAGCGGTCAATAAAGCGAGAATTTAATGTATCCGGTTTCATAGAGCCAACGTTGATGTATATACCCGCGGTACACCCCCCCACTGCAGCAAATGTATTTACGAAAGCCGATAAGTGCCAGAGCGCGCGGATACTTTATTCGAGCTTCGAGTGTACAGGGAATATATTTATTATGTATTTATTATTTTTATGCACGGCTATAAATAAACGTAAATAACATCGGTTATACAAGTAATAAAAAACATCTTTCATGAAAAATTGCAAATTGAACCGTTGTACCCCCTCCCAAGACAAGCAAAAGTTTTGCAAAAAGAGGAAAACGAAGCACTCGCCGAGGATAGCTGAGATTCCCACAAGTTACATCCGGATGCTCGCATTCCAGGTACCATCACCTACTATGTGTATACACTTGGATACTAGATTTACGGTGCGGTCACATTGATAGAGCCACCCGGAAAGTAAATATTATATTAAAGCGTAAAAAAAATGGTGAACGATAATGATAACGGCGAGGGGCTATAGCGTAGGGCTCTCGTCGTCATCGTTCCTTTGATCACATCACTGTCAAAGTGAGAGACGCGTTCCTTTTTCTCTCTCCTTGTACGCCCTTTCCCTCACTCGTCAGTAGCCGCCCGATAGCATCGTAATCGTTTATCGGACGAGGAGGAGGAGAAGAGACCTTTGGCCTCGTGAAGTCGTGCTCGAGTGCCGTGCTCCGAAGCTACAGAGGAGAATAAGAGAAGAGAGAGAGAGAGCAAGGACAGCTATATACACGTATACATAATTATATAGACGTATGGAAGAGCAATCGCGCAATCACTCGCCGTAATGGCGTAGTTGCTTGTTCTTAATTGTCAATTAGGATTCTAATCAGCGGTGTCTCTTTCTCTCACTTCGCCCCTCGGCCATGGTCCAATACATGTACAGCCCACTACTCGTTCACCCGTCCACCTATATATCTATATGTACGTATATACCGCACCGACCGACCCGTTCCCTCCATTAACCCGGTGTCAGCACCGCCCCTACCTTTAGCCGCCTTTCACGGGGATTTCGACCTGTCCTCCTCCTTTCCCCCCAGTCTCGCTCTTCTATTTAATTTCCATACCCATCGGTACGTCTCGTCCCCTCCTCTCTATTTTATTTCCACTCTTTACTTTATTTCGCCCCGTTTTTCCTCCGTCCCTCTCCCGCCGTACTTTTTTCCTTTGTGTGTGTGCTTCCCCGACGGCTTTACTGTACACCCACGCGTACATCTCTCGAGGCGTTTCTCCCTCGCTTTCCTCTTTTTGCTTCTCTACTTTTTAGACGCGGCTAAAAACGTACGGCTAGAAGATCGCAATCGAGTTTCTCTCCCCCCCTCCCCCGCCCCCGCCTGCCGGGAGTGTGTTTTATCCCTTTTTCCGCGAGAGCTGTACACAGCCTGCACCGTCTTTCCCTCTTCCTACCCCTACCCTCAACCCCTGCGTGTATATAATATGTACGGCGCGACGATCAAGAAGCTAATAATTTTTGATTTTACGGCGCCGGCGCTCCAATCCGTGATGGATATTAGAAAACGTGTCATTGGTAGAGGGGAGATGAGATTTTTTAGATGTACGTTAGAGGGGAAAAGGTGCTCGCGCGACAGGAGAGTTGGCAAACAGAATGTTGACGATTGTTCGTGGGAAAACGTTGTTTTTGTACCTATTGTCTGTTGATTTCGGTGGTTACTTCATACCCAAGATTCACATTTTTTGACGTCTTGCGCGTGAATCTTTCGAGCAAGATGCTGCGGCACTTTCAGTTTTTTTTTCTTTTTTCTTTCTCTTTTCTTACTCTCGCCAAATTCGTGGGGTTGGCTTGCAAAAATGTGTTGTTTGTTGTTGAGTGGACCTCGATCAGTTTGATTATCATGTGACATTTCCATGTCTGGGATTTTCGTACCCACTCCTAAGTTGTTTTTTTTTTTTTTTTTTTTTTTCATTCGAAAGCTCGCAAGAACTATTTTCGTGACGATCAATATTTTCTCTTGAGATGTGTTTGTGTATACGAATGATTATTTTTATTTCTCCGATTTGGTTGGAAAAATTATTCATTAAAAACACCTCAGCAGCTGCAGTAACAGCTTTTTTTCAGCTCTATCATAGTATTTTAGGCTCCATCCTTGTACCCTCATCATAATTTCCCTACAAGTATATTGGAGAAGAGTACCTACACTGCCATATACAGCTATTTCTCATAGTGGCAATGACGAGTAACCTGAGCCTATCCACATCAAATATGTCATACAACAAAATATTTCAATTCCTTAGCAGGTATTTGTAGCTGTATGTATTATAAAATTGAGAATATCATAAATATCATTGTCAAGGTAGTTCCATCCACGATCCATTTCTTTGGACGGCAAATATCGGTTTTTTTATCATTGAATGACTTTCAACGATAAACTATAAATATTTCTCACGTATACCGTATACTAATGTAAAGTTATATTTTTTGCACAAAATAAATTTTCGAGTTTAAGCGAAAATCGCGGACAGAACCACCTCAATTGTAATTAAACGCAATGTCGGTCCGGAACAACATATCATGTTATATATATGGCGATAGTGTAAGGGGTGGGTTATTGTAAGTAACGCGTTGTTTACCTGTTCCGTTGACGCCGCTCGGTCTTATGCGGGCATCGTAGCTGGCGGGGCCGAGGATATTGTCGAGCACCTGCTTCTCCTTCTCTCGAAAGTTTGTCGCACCCATCTGCGACCGAGCACATCTGCAATGTCACCCATAAATACATGTATAATTGACATTAGCCGGAAACTATATGTATATATATATATATACGCCTTCGAGAGACGGCGAAAGATGAAGTTGGTGTCGTGACGTATACCTACACCTACATTGTTGTAGTACATATTGTATATATATACATATATAGGTACATGATGCAGTTATATACTTGTGCGATTGGATGTGTGAATATGCATGCAATGGATGCGCAGTGCGGGAGAGGAAGGTCAATTGCAAGGGAAGGAGGAGAGTAACGCAAATAAGGAAACGAGAGCAAAGTGCAGACAGAGTCTTCTTTTCTCATCTCCGCAGGTGCTTCTCTCTCTCTCTCTCTCTCTCTCTCGCTTATTATCTCTTTCTTCGGCTCGACTTTTCCGCCAACTCTTTCTTCCCTGATGGTCTCTCTCTCTCTATATATATACCTCCTCGGCGAACCATGTTATACTTGTACCATCAATCGCTTTGGCTTCTCTCCCTTGCGTTCATATATACATACATATACAGTACTGCTACTCTAGCTGACGAGTTTGAGTTATGGATTTAACATTGCCCTGCTGCGTGAATCTGCAAGATTTTTAATTAATTGCCTCAGCCCCGTATACGTTGTTCTCTTTTTTCGGTCTCTCTCGAAAATTCCTTTTTTTTTTTTTTTTTTTTTTCCTCCACCTTCGCTATATCCCAATCACATCGTGAAATGTACCCTTAATTGAAGGTGTATTTTTTTATCATGATTTTTCAAGCTTTTTTCAGTCAGTTGACGCACTCGACCTTTTCAATGTAATTTTTGCACTCGCGTGCGTTTACTTATCATGCATGTTACGACCCACGAAACGAAAGAAAGTTGATTCAGGCCGCTTTTTTAGCAATTGGGTCGCGTCGAGTGTAGTTTACGTTATATAAGTGTAAATTATAAACTAAAAGCGAGAGGTGGGGGTAAATAGGGAGCTGGTGTTTTCTTCTTAATCATCAATTAAAAACTAGTTTTGGAGAGTCCCTTCATACAAAGGCACTCTTGTCCTTTTTACAAGGCTATCGTAGCGTGTCTATGTCAAACAGATTTTCAAAAAGCAATTTTGAGTAGACAAAAGGGGTGCGCATCAGGATGGTTGAAAAAAAAAAAAAAAAAAAAAAAACTCCCACCAGCTCGGTAGTGGCGGTAATTTTGCTCAAATTCAATGTACAACGAGCGAACAAAGAGACTCCGGCGAGGAGCGAAGAAAAAAAGGCCAAGCGCGCAAATACGTCAAACACGATTCTTTACTCGCTCTATATTGTTTTAATTTATTTTATTTTTTTTCCCCTCTCCGTCCCCACAAGGCTGCTCTTCATCAGCTCTCATGACGCGAATATGAAACTATCGGCACGGGGCGAGCGTAACCGTGTTCCCGGTGAAAACCAATTAAAAGCTCGAGCGGAAAAACAGCGGCAGTCCATTAGGCTCCGAACGGTCCGTATGTTTGTGTAGTGGGTGTGTCCACCGCGGCCGAGTGAAAAAATTGTGCACGTGAGCCGAGAAAAATTAAATAAAAAAGTGAGAGACCGACGCTTTGCCAATGGTATACTCTATATTATATAAACACACGCGCGTGAAAATAGACAAATTTGGTTTTTCCGCGACGTATTCGATTAAAAATCGTACGCGGTAGGAGGGAAGATAAGCCGATACACGAGAGCCGGACAAGCTCCTTATTTTCCTCTCGGGGCTGTGGTGCACAGAGGCTTGATCGATACGTGTTTACTCGTACACGTGTGCGCAAAGAGCGAGAGAGGGCGAGTACGACGTCGACAACAACGAGCCAATTACCGAGGGTCGGGGAGATGCAGAGTTGCGAAGTCACGGCCGAAATATCTATATATGTATGTATGAGTGGAGCACCGGGCAAGAGAGAGCAAGAGCCAAAGAGATGACTCCCGAGTGCAAACTATTGCGCGTAGTTTCAGAGGAGAGAGAGAGAGAGAGGCATATAATATACTGTACACATACACGGCTGGTGCCTATATTCTCCGATCCGATCGCATTATCGACGAACGTTATATCCAAAGGGGGTAGTCGCGGGTGCGTGGCCGGCATGAAAGCGCAGTTTTTTTTGTTTCTTCTCCGTTTGCCGTGCGATAATTCGGGGTTTGAAATTTTACAGACAAAACAACTTTGGCTGGCGTACAATGCTTTCGGCCCGTCATTCTCGGAGCTCGGCCGTCACGCGTTTCGCGGCTCATGACCGAGCGATTTTTGTTTTATACGTACACATTATCAATAATATATTTGGAGTCACGAAGCCAATCCCCCACCGGCGCCGGAATATATTATTATACACGTTTAGCTGGGAGTAGCTCATGATATTTCGCGTCATTTATTAGCCCCCAGCATCAACCCAGACGCCGAGATTTGGAAACAATCGCGTTAGAGTAGTGCACAATGCCATACACGGGTGTCGTTTGGGACCGAACTGTGTGTAATCAGGGCCTTGCCCCAAGTACATCCAGTTTGGGCGAAACTGCTCCCGCGACGTGCCATTTTTTTTTAGGGGGGGGGGGGAATTAACAAAATTGAAGAGAAAAAAAAAAGAAACTTTAGTCCCGTCGCGCGTCGGAATTAACGTGCACAATGATAAGGGAAAAAGAAAGTATAATATACATAAAATGTATGGATGTGTGGGTGCAGTTCAGCCGCGCGCGAGAGACGGGCGTTGAAAAAAAGCATGTTCGAGAGGTGGGGGGGGGGTGTAGTGTATACGGTATATATGTTAAAGGGGAAGCGAAGAGACGGAGGGCCACTGCTCATTGTGCTAATATAAGGGCACGATGGGCAAACAATTACCGTTAAGCCGACGAGTGGCAGCAGCCACACACACGTGGGAGGAGATACGACGCGCAGTACCGACGGGGTTGTGGGTGTACATACACATACATATATATTTTATATATTTATCGGTATGTAGGAGCTGAGGGAGCAAAGGTTGGAGCCGGCTCCCTTGGCGCGAATGAACTGGTGGTGGGCCGATATCTATATACGTGGCAGTAGGCGAGCCCTATGCTCTCTAATGAGGTCGCTTGCGCGAGAGCCGGCTGATGGGCGGGGGGGGGGGGGGTTACGGCGCCCAGCATCACCAGCGCCGATGTTAATGAGACCGGAGAGAGGCGAGCTGGAGAAGGAAAGGGGTTAGTAGAGGCACTGCTGCTGATATGCTGTTCAAGTCGTGCAGGCAAAGGGAGGAGGAGGAGGAGGAGGAGGCCCGGGAAAGGACCGGTGCGCGACGCGCGCACCTCGTTTACGGATTTTCTTCGTGTGCGCGCCCGCTTGTTCGCGAGAGAGGGAGCACCCGGGCGGGGCCGCTCCACGGGTACCTATACCAATACCACTACCCTCTGAAAAATGGAATGTGTATATATACTACGGGTAATTGGCTTGGTTGTTATGGATTTTCTTTCCTCCTTTTGTGACTTACTGCTTTCCTTTTTTTTTTCCTCCCCATCCGCGACGGCTGCTGCTACCGGCTTTCTTTTACTTAGGATGGCGTTGAGGAGCTGCCTGGGATTACAATCTCCCCCCTCTCCTATCGCTGATGTCTGTATATTGCTTGACCCCCGGCCTCGTTTGCTCGCCTTTTTTGGCCTACCAAGGGGCAGCCGTGTATTTATCTATTACGGGCTTAAGTGATTAGCTCTTCGTATAAATATACATATATACCTACTTAGCGGGGGATATGCGGCAGGATCGAGCACGCGTTATAAATTCTTTTACTTAAAAAAGGCGAAAAGGTAGAATTTTCACCGGAGCTCGTCAATTTTCCATCCCAATTACAGCTAGTGCTCGGGGGGAGAAGGAGAAGAAAAAGGGCGGGAGAAGTCCGCGAGTTGCAATTATTCGGACTGTGGGGTAGGGGGGGGGGGCTACCGTGAACGATTCAACGGAGCGACAGGAGCGCCTCGCGGAAAGAAATTAAATTGGCAAAAACAAGGCGTCGCGTCCGCGCAAATAATTACAAGTTCGTTGATTAAGCCGAGGGTAGGGGAGGTAGGCGCGTGATTTCTCGCGAACCCGCTTAATCGCGCTTTAATTTTGATCCGCTCCAGCTCCATTTTCCCTGCGCATACATACACATATATATACCAGGGCGTTGGTGTATCGGCCACGGTCCGCCCGCGGCTCTCGAGAGAGCCAATAATTTCAGGCTGCGAGCGAATGTGTGTGTGTATATATATATATACGTATCGACGGCCGGAGGGGGATGCTGATGAGGACCGATGATGGATGTAAAACCGGTGGGGCGTTAATTCTCCCCGGATATTCGAGTTGGCGGAAATGAGTTTTTTTTTTTTTTTTTTTCCTTTTTCTTTCTGCTGTATTGCGTGACTTGTATATATATTGGACGAAACGACAGTGGCTGCGTAAAGATGCTAAGGGGCAAACAAAGGCAAGCGGCTACGTTTTACATATAACGAGTATTGTTTTCCGATAAGATCACTCGGGTATGTTTGTTGTTTTATCCTTTTTGAATGAGACAGGGGCTCCTGTGGCACGGCACTCGTAAACAATGGAACTCGACAAAACGAGTACCGATACACTTTAATACTCGATAGGGGAGTATACGTGGCTATAGGTATCGAAATTCGTGTACGACGTATATATATTTCACGGTCGGTCAGTGACGCATTACCCATAAACACGTGGTCGCGTGTGCGCTGCCCCTGATTTTGACGTTTTAACAGGGACAACGACGACAGGCTCGCGGCTTATTCGCACGCAAATCTGCTGCAGGTAATCGCTTTATGCACGTTTCGATTGATTTGTGGCTGGGTCGCGACGCCGTACACACACGTATCACCCCGCGTGCAATCCAACTCGGCTACCACTTGTACACGTACGAGCGCGAATCGGGGAAATTGCCGAAAGTTTGAAGAATATATATATATATATGTATATGTAAGCAATACATCAGAGTCAAAGACGACGAGGGTGAGTCAAGTGGCGTCTGGCGGTAG